GATCGCATATCGACTGAGCTGTATGAAGAACGCTAGAGCTGTAATAACGGCGAATGAGTGGTCCGCGGCAGTCGCGTGCGGCAAATCGACTACCCAAAATCGTTCCTAACGCCCGTCTCCCCAGGAGGCCATTTTGTGCCCTGCGTCTCTTCAATTCTTACCCCATCTAATCATCTCGCCCATCTCGGCCCTTCTAAAAGTTAGGAAAAGAGCTCCTGGGTGGGTGAACCAATTGGTTGTTCAATTCTTATCCCATCCCAGCTTTTTGCACGATTTAATTACCTCTCCACCCCGGAACTCCTCCACAACTTTTATAAGTGGAGGAAACCATCTCTGCGCCCTGGTGCGGTCTCTATGCACTGTGCCGCCTGGTGTCAGAAACGCAGAGCACAAAATGGCGCTGGCACCCCCAACTACATTTTCACCTAGACGAGTTTCATTGGAGGGATTTGGACGTTTCGTGAACGCGTGTTACAGTAACCCCCTAACGTCCCACCACCCAAACCCGAGGGCTTCATCTGGGGTATCTTTGCTTTGCGTCGTATATGTGACGGGTGCTTAGAGGCACTTCAGCGTATGTTCGGGTTACTTTGTGGCTGCCTTCATAGTCCACGATTTGGCTCGCGACCAGTCGCGCGACCTGTCGAGTGAGCGACCGATCGCTCGGCGGCGCGCATGGCTAGCGAGGCCTCCTCGACCGATTGAGCGATCGGTCGCGCGATCAGTCGCTCGGTCGCTGGCTCGATAAGTCCGCGATCGGTCAAATCGTGGACTATGAAAGCAGCCTGTCGCACATTCACGGGAAGGTTAAATCCGTCTTGTCCAGTTTCTAGTGCTAGTAATCTACCCTCATTGAGGAAAACAACTGATTAACGCTGAGCGAAACCCACATAACACTGTTATGAAGTCTTATCACCACAACTTGGTCCCGAAGATTACTCCATTTTGCAATCAAATATAGTGGCGACCGAACAAGCAACAACAAACGCAAACCGAGTTTGCTGGAATTGCGCAGCGAAATTCATGGCGATTTTGACGACTCTGGCGCCTCTCATTGTGCCATAAGTTTGGAGTGAAGGAGACGAATGGGGTCATTTGATCCTACTCGTCTACTCACTTCAAATTTGGGACCTAATGATAGGTGCTAAGCTGGGCCAAATCATGACGAATTTCGCCGCGCTACTTGCTGCGCGCACCTCCGGTCGCACGAATGTCCCATGCGTCGGAAGTGCTAGCTGCGCACCAACACCGCAAATTCACATTTCTCTCAAGCCCACCTATTTCCTAATGCTGTATCAATGGCATTATGCCACAACCACATTTCGACAAAAAATTGGAGTTTCAACTACGGAAGCCACGACTCAAATGACGCCTAATGTTTGAAATGTGTTCAAGTGGTCACGCCCATCTTCTTAGTGAATGACTACGGTCGTTACCTGGTGATGGCAAAGGTTTTTAGCAGAAGCTGGAAATACTAGTGGGTTCGAGAACAAACTGCGCCTCTACGGACGCCGAGGTAGTATTGAGGTCTGCATAATTTTGATTTGAACGCGGCTCTGGGACCCTTTCGCAGTCTTCTATCACCATTAACAGTTAGTGAAATGAAACTGTGGAAAGTGACCATTCTGAATCGGATGCGAAAGCAAAATCAGGTGTAGAAGAAACAGCTACTTAGAACTTTACAAGAACGGTATTTCATTTGTCACCACAATTTTATAGAAGCTACATGCAGAATCAGAATTGCAGTTAAAGTGCGCTTAGAGCCACATGGTGTGTCAGGCTGCTTTCGCTCCATTATGCCCGTTTAGCTTCACTCTTTCGTTTATTAACCGACTGCTTGAAAGTTCGTGTAAAGCGCTGGTTTTCATGGAACGCTTCCCAATTTTTTTTTTGAACTTTCATGTTACATAGGCTGTTTTGAGCGTCACATTTTACTTGAATTTCTATATTTCCAGAATGACTAGAGGGAAGTAGAGTTGATGTGGGTAGTCGTTCGACGCCCCCAGGCGCTTCGCTTTTCGCCAATGAGCCACCGCAAAGCCTGAAGGGCGGCTATGACGCTTGCAAAAGCAGCGCTTAGATGATCAACCTCAATGTTCGGACCATTTTTAGCCTCATCGACATCTCATGGGCAGAAAATGCTGCTTTTTGAAACGATCAGAGAACCACCCAGCGAGCCCCATTGAAGCGCTGGTCTTGCTAATTACATCGTAATGCAGGAAACCGGCTATTTTTTGTGAACTGATTTCTTCTTTGCTGTGAGATCGAAAAATGCTTTTTAATATGGTCGTTTTGATAAGGATCTGGTAACAGGGTGTATAGATAGTGATCGAGGCCGCCTGTACCTCAAACACAAGTTAAAACTAATTCCTACACTTTCCCCTTTTCTCTTTTTCCTTCTAGATTTCTTCGGGTTTCTTTTTTTTTTGGAAGGATTCTTTTTATCCCCCTCTCAGCTCTTTCCGTCTTCTATGGCACTCTTGAGTAAAGCATTTACCTTGATCTTCTTTCAGGGTCAAAGTATCTCCACGATTGATTAATCGGCCTGCTTCAGAATGCCAATTAAAATTGGAATTATGGGTGGATCTGGTCTAGAGGATCCGCAAATTTTGCACAATGCAAAAGAAGTGGAAGTTAATACGCCATATGGCAAACCTAGCGATAAATACATCGTAGGTGAGCTTCTTTTGATTGTTTTTCTGAAAAGTCATTGACATTGCATAAGTTGACTACACTTAATATTCGCGATTGAACTTCAAAGGTATATTTGTCAGCCGTTACTCAATCGTTAGCTCGCAGTAGATCAACGAACGAGAACCAATTATCAGTTTCGGATCACAGGTACAGGTTGTTGGACCAACTAACGTTTGCTTTGCTTTTGTAGGACGCTTCAAATACAACGCACTTACCATTAGTACCAGTAAGGACTCACCAGAATTCATGCCACTGCTAGGGTGGAAGCGCAAAGAAAGATAAAAGCCAATTCGAATTTCTGAAGATGGAGCTTCAGTATCGTTTGAGACCATTGAAGAAAGCCCTGTTTAGATTTGTGCTCCTATAATTTGGTCTTAACTTATAATGTTTTCACCGTTGATGATTAGCCCACTTTGCTGATATTTGATCGATGAGACTGGAGGGTACTTTTGCTCTGCAATCGGTCAAACTGTGTCCTGAGCACGGAACGGAAGCACATAGGTAGATAGGTTCCACGCCGAAGAGCAAATGGCCTATGTTGAGGGAATACTGTTCTCATTACTCATTCCAAACAGTAAAAAGGGGCTTGATAAGATGCAGGTTACCCGCAGGTCATTGAAGGGAAGAATCCAAGTATCTACATAATGTCCTTTGACTACTAAAAATACTATACATCTTACTATTTCACATAAATTTATTTTTGAGTAAACTCTACATCCGAGCTTTGCTGTTTTTGTTTGAGCGACAAAATGCACCATCCATGACGAGAATTGAGAGATTTAGCGTTACGGTTATCTTGGCTGTAGTTCTCGGTTTGATTGTCTGGTTACGAGCCAACACAAGTTCGCTTCTGCGTGACCCACCTAACTATACCTGATGCCTTTTTGGTTTTGTATTAATGACGGAGTCCTTCTAGGTGTTAGTTTCCCAAATCGCCGGCGTGCAGAATTGGCCTTGAGTAGGAGCCATGACATACTTCTACGACGGGAGCGAGAAGGCACAGTGATGAGTTGTGAACTGCCGTGCAGATAACAGAATCTTTTACAATTTGTTGGCACTCGGCAAGCATTATGACATGCATAATTTGATGTTTTTTGCTTATCCTGCTTTTTTTCATTGCCATTAGGCTTAACCAACCTTTCTATTTGTAGTGACACACAAGCTTAAATTGACAGTCTAATCATGCTTTTCAGGATAGTAATCCGTTGAAGTAGCATATGGCATGGCGCATTTTTTTTCAATTCTCATTAACTTTTCGATTAATTGTTTTCTCCTATCCTAGCTTATCTTTTTGTATTTGTAGTCATAAACTTCGCGAACCTCCGAGAATTGCGGATTTATATGACTGTACTGAAATGGCAGTAATTCTGATGTAGACTGTCTCTAGATGTAGTATTGTTGAACAATTCCCTCCCTAATTTAACGGCGATGAGCGAAACCAATCTGGGTGCAGAAAATGACATTGTCGAATGAATAAGGCACTGGGCAGATGGTCGACTTGCAAAGGCTCCACAGTTGGAAATGGAGTGTAGAAATGCGCAAAACATTGAGATTCTGATTAAACGATCTGCTGTGCGAATGAGAATCGTCACAGATAAAAAAGGGAATTGTAACTTTGGTTGATCCGGTTTGAATTCCATTCATAAGTGAGGCGGTGGTTGTGGAATACAAGGTCAGTTTTTCCGAACCGAGGTGTGACATACGTTTAGCTTGGTCATAGAGTATCCGAGGAGCGAGGAGTAGCTGATCTGAATATTTAGTAGCTGGATTGGAGCGAGTTCTTTTTTTCAGGGGTCATTGGTGATGTCGAATGCATCTTGCTTGCTCGTCACGGTCGCAAGCACAACATCATGCCATCAGACGTCAACTTCAGAGCCAACTTGTGGGGAATGCACTCCTTAGGTGCCACACACTTTTATTTTCATGTAAAAATGTTCTAGTGAGAACGCGAATCCATATAAGATAGTTGAAACTATAGTTTGATGCAGATCGTCAGAACCAATGAGCATGTAGGGATAGGATAATCTGTCATAGCTTAGGCTTATAAGTAAATTATCGAGTTAAAATAAATTACTCATCGTAACCATGCACTTGAGGAGCATCTGTGATCATTGCGTCTATTGCTTGCGGGTCACTTCAAGAACACGTGAAACCTGGCGAACTCGTGTTTCCTGATTCAGTTTTTGATCGGTACTCATATATTCTTCGTAATAGCTGCTTACAACTGAAAAGATTAATAACTAATTACTCTATTATGGAACTACTGGCCGGAAAAGCACTCTCTTCGATGGCACCAATCCTGAGGCCCCTGGCGTGTGTCATATACAAATGCATCCTGCATACAATGAAAAACTGAGACAGGTATTTTTCGCCTGTTCAGGGTTCGTAGTGATTGATTCAGGTTAATAAACCACACACCTTGGTTTGCCTCTAGTTCCACTAGTTCTACACAAAAGTCTGCTACGTTATAGCAAACCAGTTATAACTTATAATATATTTAGGTTCTTATAAAGACGGCTACTGATCTCAAACTCAAATTCCATGATGGTGGTTTCGGTATTTGCATAGAAGGGCCCAGATATTCATCAAAAGCCGAAAGTCGTATTTTCCGCTCATGGGGGGCAAGTCTCATTAACATGACTATGATGCCTGAGGTTTGTTTTACGGGCTCATATTATACATAATCTTCAAAGAGTCACTTCTAATATGTTCTGAGTGTTTCAGTGTGTACTCGCCAAAGAACTCGGCATTCCTTACGCCACAACTGCCCTGGTCACTGACTATGACTGCTGGAGAGATGATGAGCAGGTAATAACGCCTCCTTACCATTCCAGAATTCTGATTAGAATGAATTTCAGTGATATCGGGGATAACGACTTGCTAGGAATGGCAACCGAGACACAGAAGCCTAGCTTTGAGACTAAATTCATGAGTTTTCAGGTATCCATGGAATTGGTTATGAAAACATTCAAGGAGAACTCTCATAAAGCGAAAAGTCTATTTGTTGAAGCAGTGAAACGAATCGCCAAGGAGGATTGGAAAGCTGAAATCGCTCGGATGAAGGTACCATTAAGTAATCGAGCTTGTAAGGCAGCTTCCGAACTATGTAACATGTGAATATCTGATCTGACTGAAGGGAATGGCTGACGGCTGACAAAGTCCCACCAGTTGCTATTGAGTTCTTACCTTGCCGACGGTTTCTCACCTTGTAAACTGTTAGCTTATTTTCAGAAAGCTGCAAGAGATGCTGTTATGGTGGGACCCGAAGTCACTATTCCTCACCTTGTTGTTACATGAAACGAATTACTAGTGGAAGGTCTGAATAATTGAATATTTCTTAAGCATAGGTATTTTCCGATCTGACTTTTGTTTCTGGTACATACTAGTTGCCTTGTTAATTATCTTGAATTCACAACCTGAAGGGTTTTCGAGTTTTTTTTGTGTTGTGCTTTGATCACTCGAATCGGACAGGGTAAATATGCAAGTGTCGATAAGAGATGTTGTTTGAAAAGAATAAAGATCTTTTAGAGAGATTAGAGAAGAAGGAAAGAGAAAAGAACTCACTTGAGAATATGATTACGTAAGGAAAGACACAGTCGTACTATCAGCGGCCAAGCTAATTAGGTTGTGAAAGTATCTGCCAAAAATTTAACAACGGCCCAAACTTCTTCCGGGAATCTCTGGAAGCTCTTATATAAATAATAAAAGGACACTACTCACTGGTCCTGGGAAGTAGTTCGGTGTATTGGTCAGGGTTACGGCCCTCATTACATTTCAGACAAATATAATAGATTATAAAAGTGCCTGATTATTGGTCGATATGTGACCCTTGATATTGTCCACCACAGGTCGGGGATTAGGGTTAAGAGCATCTCTCAGGGCATAATCTGAACATGAAAAAAGGATAGTTCTTACTGGAGAGCAACTGGATAGCATTGTAGACTTGCTTTTTCACCTTTGCTACACGATTAATCATTCAATGTTCCACCGTCTTCAACCGACACCAAGGCATCACGCCCGCATGTATGTGCATAACATATCGGGATCGTTTGACTGAGTCGAGGTTCATCTTCGACCTTCCCCTTTCAGCTCATGAAATGGTATGCCGAGGTGGTGCTTAGAACCCCTTAGATAGGCCTTGGAAGCCAGATGCTTTGCACATGTTTCGATTAGTTTCAGCAGCAGAGTAGCTGGGGTCGAACTCGTAGAGGTACGGGTAAAATGTTGTAGAATATGTTTAAATAGCAATGGAGACCCGATATGTTTTGCATATACACTTAGGTAGTGTCCTTACACGAGCAAAAAATGGAAAGTTCCAGAAAATCTCGACAAAAATCTGGATTTTGCCGGACACTTTCCGCATAACCTAATAATCAACTCACATCTTGAAGAGAACTTTTATTATCATATGTAGGAAGAATGCCCACACACTATTTGATCAACTCGGTATCCGAAAAGGTCACTATTGATTTGGGTAGACGTGTCAATAAGGGCGTTCTTCATCACAGTCTCCACGTACACCTAAAATATAGTTTTGGAAATTTACAGATGGAGATAAGGAGACCCAAGCATAATCTATTGGGGAAGAACGATATTGGGTTGCTCGGATTGCCTTCGGCTGTTTTGAATGCATCATGTATGTATAGTATTTTATGAAAAGCAAATGATTAAGTTCTTTTATTATATATTCATAAAGAACACGCATCTGCGTGAATCTTCGTTTTCCGTGTAAGCATTTCTCAAAATGTTTTCATTTAGGATCGCACAGAAATGATAAACAAACTGGAGCATTTCAGAGCATCTTATACTCCCCTCAGAGGCCAAGATACAGAGGAAGTCGCAAAAACGTATTCAGCAAAAAACGAGAACGACTGTTCCGACACCCTATGTGTCGACTACCAATTAAAAACGCCAATTACATCATATCCGCGGATTACTTCACTTCAGGATGTTCATCGCGTAACTGTAATAGATCATGGTATAATATCATACTTCATTGAACCAGCCACAGTTACAAGCATGCTCACGGTGGTTTGCTTGAATTTCTTGAAGACACAGCAGTAAACGTTTTGTAAATTTTTGACGATGTACATGACATCAAGGACGATTCGAAAGTGAAGTGTCAATACTCATCGAAGTTCCTGCATAGTGCGCTGATTGCCTTCATGGGCACTTCTTTACAAAGTATAAAGAAATAATGTGGTAGAGCTAGGTTGGTGGGCCATAATTCTCAAAAGATGAAGCGGTCAAACAATCGAAACTCCCTGCAGGACGCTTCGGCGCACCACAACATCACGCTAAGCGCATACTCTGTATATCAGGGAATTCAGTACATCGATCTTAACTGTTCAAGACCATTTCAAGTAGATCCTGCCCCTCGCTTCTAACCTCCTAAAATAATCATAGACCACAACCACTGTGGACCGCTAGGTAAAATCCATTATTTGCAGCATGGTTGAAAAGTGTGGCTCGAACCCTAATACATTCGAAAAGGAAGGGCTAGTGAAGCTTCCCCAAACCTGGCAAATCATATTTGAATGTTTTCAATTGTAGATCGTACCGTTGTTCCAGATTATTTAGACTTGATTCATAATAAGATTCGACAGAGACTTTCCAAGCCTAACAAGTAAATGAAAAATAGGGTTGCAAATATTCTTGAGGTTTTAAATCAAATCTAGTAAACATTCTGGAAAGCACGGATGATATAAACGCTAGCAACTTCGTTACCTGATAGATAGATCGTATTAGCTCAGGAATACCAACAGCCGATGGATCGGTATTCATTACCATTTTTAAACCAGTGGGTGTTTCCATATAATTCAAGCGATATGAGGACGTTTTGAAATAGCGAACCAGCTGATGTCTGGAACAAATAGCCTTGTAATATACCAAAATACGCGTGCTTTCAGAGTTCAACGGCGTGCACTGTTTCACCGACCAACCGAACGACGGCGCTGCTGGCCACATGCTGACAACGCAGGATAGATTCCTATAAGGCCCGTGAGCGGTATCCATCGGTCCGGTGGTGTGAATACGTGGCCAGCGGTCGGTAGATAGGTCGGTCGGTGAAACGCATGGCTTGCAACTATGATATCACCCATTATATCTAGGTCAATAAATTTTTGAATGCAACTCGCAGCGTCAAAGTTCCGGTATTATTCGGGAAAGTTCCCCTGAAATGGTTTCTTTCTTGCAATGAAAGATCAGCTCTTGTTATTTCGTTTTGTGTTGCTAATTATTTTCTGAAACCGATGACTGCACGTAGTGACTTGTATGGAGTACCAATACTATCTGCTGTTTTGCATGGAAAAATTTAAGCTTAGTCTTCTGTTGGCTGAATACAGTGAAATGGGAACAGTACTGTCAAAAATGTCCCTCCAAGGACAACTGCTCACAAAAATTAGTAAGTGTAGATAATCAAACCAAATCGGAATGTAACAATAACGCACCCATCCTTACTTGAAAGTCGCTCCGAGAATGAGCGAAGCGAAACTAGCATTCCGAACATTAGTTTAAACTCCTGTAAAGGTAAAAGGCTAGCTCTCCTACATCACTCCCACTTGAAAATAACAGCAAACCTCGCTTTTGGCCATTCCAGATTGCTTATCTCTTCTCCATTCTTTGTAAAAAATGCAAGTTCCATCTCGATTGAATAAGTAAAAATTATAAATAGTCATGCCATGAACATAAGTTGAAAGAGCTCCTAAAGAATTACTCCATCAAATCCGAAGTAGTCTATTAGATAGAACCTTTGACATCGCTACTGGAGGAATTTGTACTTCGTAGACACGCAGCGTGGGCGCCACTGCGGTCCCTAGAGCGCGAAATCATATGAGGGGAGCCTACAACACAGTTTTAGCCATTTCGGCTCACTTGACAGTTAGTGAGCCGTCGTTTTGATTACAACATGGAGGATCACAACGACAAAGATGGAAGTTCGAGAAGTCCTGTTCCAGATACGAAGGGAAGCATAAAGGAGCTCAAGCTAAGGGTGCTGAAAGCGCGTCCGTCACCGGTCTCTTCAGGTCTGGGCGGTTCGCGAAGTCGGCATCAAAGAGAACCGTATTGGCTAGGCAACTCAACGACAAACCAGTCGGGTTTGTGTGGCCCACCGAGGAGAAAACATCAGAGCGAAGAGAAATCAAAAGCAGCCTTCATCAGGTGCTGAGCAAAGGGACGAGCTTTTAGTGTCCGACCACGAACTATTCATGGGGTGTGGTGCGATTCACGCGTCAATATAATGAGGTCATCGGACAA